AATAAGTATACGATTTTGAACAAATGAGATCCTGGCATAGAAAATCTACGAATTTTGAAAAGAAAGCCTTTAAAGAGCAGATAAAGATTTTTTCCAGATCGAATACAAGCCCTTGAAAGGTGGACAAATTAAAATGGTAAGAAATCGTTTATTGCGTCTAAAAATAAAGTACGTAAAAGTAGAAAGAGACCACTAGTTTTCATTTTAAATGGAGTTTCTAAGTTTTATTTCAGTTACAATGAAACGTGAATGAATTCACTCGTGAATTTAGAATGTATTTATAGAAGGGCATAGAAGTTTAAGTGTGAACAATTAATAAAAAATCAAGGTGGTAATTGCACTAAAACATACAACATGACAACACGCAAATAAAAGAAATATCAGCAATGGGTTCGTTGAAGTCGTAATTGCCACAATTTCTGCTCTTTTTGGTGCGATCATCGTGATATTAATAAACCGTTGCACTTAGAAGAAATGTTGTTCCGTTGCTTCATTTGCAAGGAAAACAGCCTGAATTTCGATTTTCAAACATATAATATGGAAGTCGTCCAATCAGAGAACCAACAAAGAATACTTAAGTGAAAATAACCAACTTTTAACTAAAAATCAAACCCCATTTCTTCATTGTTAAAAATGTGCATAGGTGCACTTTCCTGCTCCTCCTCTTTATTACAAAAAAACCAAAAAAAATTTAATAGCAAATCTACGCAAACCATTCAAGACTGACCACAAAAGTGTCCACTATTTTTTAAAAATAGAGCAAACTACCGACGCCAACCAACACGTTGAAACTTGTCGGAACCCGATAAAAGACGCGTTCTTACATCACACCCACCCCACCATAACGCTCATGGTAGTCCAAATCGTTCAATCGCCAACTCGTAATGAACCCCATTGTAAACCACCGGCAGCACTTGGCTGGTCGACTATTTTTTACCTGCCCACCTTTCATCAAGCGAGGCCCCTTGAAACGGTGATTTTAATCCAGTTCTCTTGCAAATCATCTTTCCTTTACTAACCCACTTGTGTCAGTTATATTTTCCCTATCATTTGCTATAAAAAATTAATTGGGGCTGTAGGTGGTTAAGTGAAAAAAGCGTGTAATTGCAAATAAGTTTTTAATCAATAAAAATAAGTTCTCTAATACCTATAGGAAGACCTACATATACGTATAACAGTCGGATAACATCCAAATTAAAGCTCTCATCACATCGGTACATCAGATTCTTAAAACTAGTTCAGGACATATTTACAATCAACAGTAGCAAAAGCCTAAAACTACAGTAGATATCACAATTGTGTCAATAAATGAGGTAAAAATCATTGAGCAAAGACATCACAAAAAGTTAAAGTCTTAAGGCACTGGCTGCGATCACAATCAGGAGTGAAGCGGGTTCCTATCGGGAACCTAAGCTTGGGCCCATCGGTCGACGGCCACTTGCAGTTCCGGAACCTGATGGCTCGAGATGGCATTGTTTTTTACGATGTCACTGTCTGCAGACGCCACCGACGTCCAGAAGAAGGTGCCGGCTTCGGTTCTGGCAAAATTCACTGGGATGTACCTTTGGCCGCGGACTATCGGCAGGATCTCCGTGCCAGATTCATGGTAAATGGGCACTGCGGCGAAGTCTTCGCAGCAGTCGATCTCCTCAAAGATCTCGTTCTCCAAAATCTCATTAGCCAGATTGTCCTGGATCTCCTCATCGTTGAAGTAGCTGGGCTGAGCGGTGCCCTTGTAGGTGTTCTTCTTGCCCTTCATCAGAATGCACTTGATCATCCTCTTGATCTGGTGCATGGGATTGCGTGCCACTTTTTTCGCGTTTACTTTGTTGTCGTTGATGCTGTTGTTCGACGACACCAAGTAGTCGTTGTTGAAATTCATTTTCGGTGATAAATCGCAGGGAAATAAACTCGAGAACGTTGCAGTTGAACGATACGAATCGAATGAATTCTGACACGCGATTCCCGTCTTTTATAGCCCACAACTTTCCTGACGTCAGCTCAGACCCTAAGGGAACAACCCCCAACCTATCGAAAGCTCGGATAGGGACAGGTGTTCGAATTTGGTCGCGCTAAGCCGAGTGAAACGCGATGAGCAAGACGCCCGCATTTCTCATTCAGCAAGTGCGACAAAGACCGGGGACCGATATATGTGCATATAGGGTGTCTCATACGGATGAGATCCGTGAGAATTGCAACTAAGAGTCGGTTCCCACGAAAACGAAGGCAGATGGCATACGTAAGGGTGTTTAAAAAGATTTCGCTTACTCCCTCATATATTGTGCTCCTTGACCCTTTTTACCTCTTCCCCATGTAAAATCCGTCCCGCATACTTATGATTTTCAATTTGGGACTTTGCACGTGCAATGGGCAGGTTCACCACGGTCAGTTAAAGCGCCCGGAACCTTTCTTTCAAGGGCCGAAGGGCTGCGCTCGCCCAATCTAGAACCGTTTTATTTGATCGCCACCGCAACCAGAACGCATGCAACAATTTCTTTACCTGATTTTCGGTTTTGTGCAAACGCATAAAAAGAACCCGTTTTTAACCCAAATAATATCCTTTTCCGCGCCGGCTTGTGTCGGATTGCTCGCGATCAAAGGGATAAGGAATTTTGTTTTTCTGGAAGAAACCCGGGCAGATGGTGTTTTTGATGCAATCAT